CTGTGTCTGCCACAAATTGATTGAAAAAATAGTAAATTATTTTTGAGATGGGCAAGAGTCAGCAGAGGGCCTTGATCTCATACCCATATACTTATTTGTTTTCTTTTTATGTAAATAGTCTTTCTATATTAACTAGAGTCCCGGTGCACGAAATTCGTGCACTCTTGGAAGGGGGTGTCCCTTAGCCCAGCCTGCACCCTCTCCCAGTCCCGTAGTCCTCGGGGGATGTCTGACTGCTGTGGAGGTGGGAGAGGTGCCTGCCACCGCAGGTTCTGGCTGAGCAGTGCCCCTCCTATGGGAGCGCACTGACCACCAGGGAGCAGCTCATGTGTTGCGCGTCTGCCCCCGTGGTGGTCTGTGCACATCATAGTGACTGGTCATTCCACCGTTCAGTTGATTGGCTTATTAGCCTTTTATTATATAGGATTATTGACTATGACATAACATTTTTCTCAATAACTAGCATATCTTACCAGAAAAGGGATGGAATAATATTTATTTTATTAGTATATTGTCTTCATACAACTCTTTAATATAAAATTTAGCCTTAGACCCTCTGGCCCTCTGAGAGGACATGGAGAGATACATTTACTTTTAATTCCTTGCTGAATTACTTGGAATTCATTTAGTAAATATTCTATTCCAGTATATTAGATGGCATGAAAGTAGCTAAGTAATCTATAGAGAAGTCAAAAAATGAAGTTTAAGGACAAAAATGTTGGCACCAGAAAGTGATTCATAGTCTAGGCCAGTGGTCGGCAAACTCATTAATCAACAGAGCCAAATATCAACAGTACAATGATTGAAATTTCTTTTGAGAGCCAAATTTTTTAAACTTAAACTATATAGGTAGGTACATTGTTATTAACTTAATTAGGGTACTCCTAAGCTGGCCTTTGCTAAAAATGTCCTCAATCTGATTGAGGTACGTTCGCTGAGGTTGACCCCTTCCAACTCTCCCATCCACACTCGTCTTGTATACTTGTTTCGTCTATTCAGTGGTCGGCAAACTGCAGCTCGCGAGTCACATGTGGCTCTTTGGCCCCTTGAGTGTGGCTCTTCCACAAAATACCACGTGCAGGCGCTCATGTACAGTGCGATTGAACTTCGTGGCCCATGCGCAGAAGTCGGTATTTTGTGGAATAGCCACGCTCAAGGGGCCAAAGAGCCGCATGTGGCTCGAAAGCCGCAGTTTGCCAACCACTCACTGGTCTAGGCAGTTAGTAGATTTGGGAGTTTGGGTTTTAAGAGATCCCAAGAAATCTTTCCTAAACAAATCATCCCATCTCTCTCATCTTAGTTCAACAATGAATTATTTTCTGAATGAACTAACCTTTTTTCTTGAGATATTTCCCTTATTATATACCACAGAACTTAGTCCTGGAACATTTACTGATTTGTATTTTTCTCAAAATTTTTTATATACCTTAACCCAATTTTTCTTACACCCCAATTATATTGTAAACTGTTACATTTTCCTGTATACTATGTTCAGAGAGAGGACATGCTATTATGTGGAACTCACTTTGATTTAATGATCCTATAGAATTAGTGCAGATGTAGAGGCTTTTTTTAAAAAAAAGATAAATTAATAACAAATGAAGGCCAGTAATAAGAAATAAAAACTTTTATAAGAAAAGCAAAATATTATAACAGAACTCAGACTATTTTTAACTTCTAGTTTTTATTTCCACAAATAGTATTTTTTATCTTTAATAAAAAATAAAAACTTTTGTAAGAAAAATAAAAGATTACAACAGAGCCCGGAATATTTTTGACTGACGTTTCTGATTTTCAATTCCACAAATAGCATTTTTTTATTACATTAGCATGACAAGACTGGTGAAAACTTTATAGGGTATTAAAATAAAAACTTTCAAAAGTAGATGATTTAAACATCTTTCCATATGTTTGGGTTAGAATTACAAGAGTTTTAACACTAACAACCCTACTCCACCCCCATACCTCAAAGAAAGGTGAGTCAGTCACAGAAACACGTGCTTCTCTCTGTCTGGTTTGCTATGAGCTATACCTGGAATTCTGAACGGAAAGTCCCCATATTAAGAAACTGCTGTGCTGCTACCTCCACATGGAGTGATCACTACTCCAAATAGGAGTAGTGACTATTGGATGGACATTATCTCCTGTTTCTTATCTGCTGCTGTGTAACAGACGACCATAAAACGAAACAGCTTCAGCCAACACCCCTTTCATTGTTCTTGATTCTGCAGGTCAGGAATTTGAGCAAGACTATGGGTCAGGAATTTGGGCAAGGCTCATGTCTGTTCCATGTTGTATTGAGTGGGAAGGCTTCACTAAAGCTAGAGAACCTAAGAGGGCCTCACATGTCTGGGCACCTTAGTTCTCTCTCATGAGGCTTTTTTCTGTCCAAGTGCTTTCTTAGTATTTAGTAGTCTAACCCATGTTTCTTTTTTTAAAAATATATTTTATTGATTTTTTACAGAGAGAAAGGGAGACTGATAGAGAGTTAGGAGAGAGAAACATCGATCAGCTGCCTCCTGCACAACCCTCACTGGGGATGTGCCCGCAACCAAGGTAAGGTACATGCCCTTGACTGGAATTGAACCTGGGACCCACAGGCCGATGCTCTATCCACTGAGCCAAACTGGTCAGGGCAAACCCATGTTTCTTGATATGGTGGCTGGCTTCCAAGAAAGAGAGAATGAAAGCTATGGGACCCCTTCAGGCCTAGTCCAGAAGTCACAAATTGCCACTTCCAAGACATTCACTTGGTCAAAGCAAGTCACTGGGTCAGCCCACATTTAACAAGAGAAACAGACTCCACTTCTTGGTGAGTGAGTGCAGAGGGGATTGCAGGATAGGAGCTATATGGGAAATGATTTTTCATACTTCTCTTTACCTCCCCATTTCTTTCTTCCCTATCATCACCAGGCTTATCAGATACTACCAAATTATGATGTCTTATAATTTAAGGTATATCTACAGTCTAAGAAAAAAATACAGAGAGGATTAAACACTTCACAAAACGTTCTCTGTTCATCTTTATGGTCTCACTGTACTCTTCTCAGAAGGTGCCTTTTTTCTTCAAATTCCCTCAGTGCGGTTGGTGTCAGTCAAGATCCACTCCCCTCCTTCTATCAGTGTAAGTCTGAGGATGCAAAAGTCAGCAAAGTCCAAGTAAATTGCTCTAGAAAGCACCTTGGAGATATGGCCATGGTCAGAGCCCTCAACTGTCTAGATTGCCCTTTAGAAGCCTTCAGTTTCTAGCCTCCAGCTTGTGTGAGGTGGATATGCTTCCTTATTATTTAAAGTCTTTCTTCCTCCAGCAAATAATTATTGGGTGGGTCCTTTCTTTCTCTCTCCGTGTTACACACACACACACACACACACACACACACACACACCATTTTCAAAGATACAATATCTGTTCTTTGAACACCTACTATTCTTCATAAATATTTAAACTCTAACTGATGGAACCCACAAAGCACCTACTCTCTCCTCTTTTGGCCAGTTCACCTGCTTATCGACGAGCTGACAGTGCAGGGCCTTCACCTCTCCCTGCCACAGGCCTCTGTGGTATGTACCCTGAAGTGATCCTGTTAGGAATCCTGGCTTGTCTCCTGACTACTCCTCCTCCTCAATAGTTGCTGCTACTGATTTATAGCTGAACAGATAGGAGCTTCCCTTAATCCATCTCCATATACAAATCCATTTAGAATAATTTTTCCCTGAAGAGGATCTATTATTGAAGTATAAACATGATGGTTAATTTTATGTATCAGTTTGGGGGGCCGAGATTAGACATGATTTCTGGGTGTGTCCGTGAAGGTGTTTCTGGATTAACATCTGAATCGGTAGCCTCAGCAAAGTAGAAGTTTGGCACATTTCTGAGACATTTCTGTGGTCATCTGAAGAAAAATTATTTGTCCAACGTTAGCCAAAAACGGTTGTTAAAGTTGGGTAGGTTTTGAAAACATTCAGTCTTTTCTTTAGTCTCAGACCCTGCATGAAAGACATTATAATCACTAAATTCTCCCGATCATAGAGCTGGAAGAAAAATTGACCTCTCTCACTTTACCAAGAGTCAACTTTGTGCCCAAATTCACCAAACTCTTAGATGTACTCATCTGCTCATTCCTTTGTCCCAGCACTTCTAGGTCTTTCATCCAAATAAGTAAGCATACCTGTGGAATCCTTTTCCAGATTCCTTTAAAGCAGCGGTTCTCAACCTGTGGGTCTCGACCCCTTTGGGGGTCGAATGACCCTTTCACAGGGGTCGCCTAAGACCATCGGAAAACACATATATAATTACATATTGTTTTTGTGATTTATCACTATGCTTTAATTATGTTCAATTTGTAACAATGAAACATGAGGAACTGTATTAAAGGGTCGCGGCATTAGGAAGGTTGAGAACCACTTCTTTTTTTTTAAAATATATTTTATTGATTTTTTACAGAGAGGAAGGGAGAGGGATAGAGAGTTAGAAACATCAATGAGAGAGAAACATCAATCAGCTGCCTCCTGCACACCCCCCACTGGGGATGTGCCCGCAACCAAGGTACATGCCCTTGACCGGAATCGAACCTGGGACCCTTCAGTCCGCAGGCCGACGCTCTATCCACTGAGCCAAACCGGTTAGGTCAAGAGAACCACTACTTTAAAGTTTAAAGAAATGCACTCACTTTGCTGGGGACCCTAATTTGTCCTGTTAAGTAGGGAATCACCCTTTTCACACACACACACACACACACAGAGTCCTATTTCACAGAGAAAAATGGCCAGGAAGGGGACCCTTCTCCTTAAGAGCAACTGATAAAAGGCCAACTGTCTCAGGTGTCAACCGAAAGAAACGTAGCCCTTCTTTCTCTCTGCCGGGGCTAGTGGTCAACCTCTTCCCTCTCTCCTTCACCAGCCCCTGTCCGTCAGCCCATCCTCGGGTGGCTGTCAGTGTCCTTCCCAGCTGGTTACCAATAAAGTTGTTACAAAGTGACCTTGAGCGTCTTCCCGGCTGCACGCGATTCCCCGCCTTCTCCATCCGGGTGCCCCGGCGCGGATAAGAGCCGGACCGCGCCTGCGCGCCCAGCCCCACTCCTTCGACCTCTGCCGCCGCCGCCGCCGCCGCCGCCTCCTGGAAGGTAAGCCGAGGGCGCGGGAGCCGGCCTGGCCGCGGGAGCGGCGCCCACGGGGACCCATTCATTCCGCCGGCGTCTCGCTGGGCGCGGGGCCCAGGCCGACGGCGCGCGCGGGAGCCGCGGGACCTGGCGGGGAGGACAGGCCCTTGGGGGGCACTTGACCTTAGGCCGCTTTTCCTCCGCAGAGAGCGGGAGAGGAGCCCACGCCGCCTGCCACCCAGTCTCCAGCCGCGCCGCCCCGGGAGTGTAAGATGTTCGCCTGCGCCAAGCTCGCCTGCAGCCCCGCTCTGGTGCGTAGCCCCGCGGGGCCGTGGGCTCGGGGCCCGACCTGCTGGCCCGGAGCGTCCACGTTGTGGAATGGGCCACGTCCCGGCGGCGCGCACCGCCCTCGGGACAGCTCTGCCCCCCTCCTAACCCTGTCGTTTTTCCCCCTTCCTTCTCCTCCTGGCGCGCCTCGTCTCCTCCCGAGGGCCATGGAGGGCAGCCGAGGCCTAGCTGTCAGGCGCCTCGCGGTTGTAGGTCAAGTCCTCTTGCGCCCGCAGCGTCCTCTCCCCCTCCCTCACCTCTCGGTCGCGCTGGGGGGTCGGGTGGGGCGCGGAGGCGGGGGCGCCGGGAGGGCAGAGGGGCGCCGAGGCCTAGGGCGGCCGCCGCGCTCTCCAGGGCCTGCTTGTAGGTCAAACGCGCTGCTGCAGAGGAGGGACTTTCGTCTCCGCCTCGCGTGGGTGGAGGAATGGTGGCGGGAGCAGCCGAACCTCTTTCTCCTGCCTCTAGAATGCCATTTCCATGACCATTTTGGAGGCGTTCGGGGAAGTGAAGACCCGGGGGGTTTGTCCTACGGAGTCCGATCTCGGTGCCGAAGGGGTTTTCTGTGACCTTAGTTTAGTGGACGCTCAAGGGCAGGCGGAGCGCTGGGCTGGAATATGTCCTTATGGTCAGAGTATTGCACCGATTAGTCTTACTCTGATATGGAATTGCTTACACTGCTTTTTAATTTTATGATTAACTGACATATTGGAATGTCTTGGAAACGGTGGGCGCTCCTATTAACGAATGTGCCGTTTTAAATAAGAAGCTGTTAGAGTGACACTCCTAATAGGCGCTTTTGTTGGTCCACTTAAACTTAAAGAATGTGTGGTGTTTTTTGTCGTTTTTCTGATCTGAATTGTGACACCACAGTAATTAAAAATTTTAAAAGCCATACATATTTTTAAACTAATTGTTCTTAGTTTTGTTCAGTATATTACAAATAGCTTATGAAGCAAGCTTTAAAATTTCGTTAGCAACTTTAAAACTATTAAAATTGCTTCATCTATTGAAAATGACCAAACAAGCCAAGATAAGTGTCAGTACAGAAGTCATGAACTTGGACTCATTTTTCTTCTTGCTTTCTTAGAACTCATGGTGCAGGAAAGGTCATTGAAATCTTATCTGTATCCTTACTTATTATGTGGAATTTTCTTTCATTAACAGATCCGAGCTGGATCCAGAGTTGCATACAGACCAATTTCTGCATCAGTGTTATCTCGACCAGAGGCTAGGACTGGAGAGGTAATAGTAGTAATAACAGAAATTAAGTGACACTCCTAAGTAAGTCTTACGGTTTTGACTAAAGTGAAGGGGGTGGGGAAACAACCTCATTAATGAATGGCTGGAAGGCAATCCTTTCTATCTGATAATAAAATGTGCAAAAGATAAGCCAATAAAATAAACTTCTGTATCCAAAACTTATTCACCTGATTTGGCTTAGCAATATAGTCAGTATGTATATTTAAGTGCATAGGCTTGAGTTGTCTATATTTAAGATTATAGTAGCTGCAGTTATTGAAAAGCCTACTCTACTAAAAAGCATATGCACATACTTTGTTTCTTAATTTTCAACTCTCTAGGGTATAGATAGTGTTATTGTGCCAGATTGGATTTATTTTAAGCCCTTGATTGTGCCACATCACCTCCTATTCAAACTTGGCTACAAAAGAGAGAACTAGTTATCATTTTGACAGTATGGTAATTGAAATAGCTAACTGTGGTGACTGATTTGACCTTTGCCTTTATTTCTTGTTCTCTAGGGCTCTACAGTATTTAATGGGGCCCAGAATGGTGTGCCTCAGCTAATCCAAAGGGAGTTTCAGACCAGTGCAATCAGCAGAGACATTGATACTGCTGCCAAATTTATTGGTGCAGGTGCTGCAACAGTGGGAGTGGCTGGTTCTGGTGCTGGTATTGGAACAGTCTTTGGCAGCCTTATCATTGGTTATGCCAGGTAATTTCAATGGCCAAATAAGAGCATGCTTGAAATAGTTGGAAACTTAGAAAACTAGTGAAATAATAATAGCTAATTTGTATAAAGTGCCCACTCTATGTCTTGCATTATATTTTAAGGGCTTTGCACACATTATGTCACTTAACTCCCCATTTGTCATAGCTAGTAAGTGTCAAAATAAATTTTAACTCAGTTTGACTTCACAGTCTACACTCTTAATTGTTAAGCTATATTGGGAATATAATTAACAGCACATTCTTTAAGAGTCAATTTCCATTTTATTATGTAAGACCTTATTTGTAAACTATCAGATCTTAAAAGGTATAGAACATAGTTTCATAGGTATAAGAAGAATGGTTGGTCTTCACCCAAAATAGATGAAGACTAACCATTTATATTGACATACAGAGTCAGCTCTCCCCCTTTTCTTCATATGATTAGGATTGAGGAGGAAGGGATGTCAAAGGCAAAGCAAAAGAGATCTAGACAAATACTCTCCCAGTATTTCCAGTTTACAAAGATCCCCACACTAGTAATCTGATTATTTAACATTTACCAAACATTGAAATTCAAATGGTATTTCAAAGTAATAATGTGTTGTGTGTCTTTTTTAGAAACCCTTCGCTGAAGCAGCAGCTGTTCTCATATGCTATCCTGGGATTTGCCTTATCTGAAGCTATGGGTCTTTTTTGTTTGATGGTTGCTTTCTTGATTTTGTTTGCCATGTAACAGAAATTACTGCTTGAAATGTTGGCATTCATATTAATTACGGATGTAATTCTGTGTACCTTACTGTGACTCCGAGCACTATAGTATTGGTGTCATGGAAATAGACATTATTTCCAAAGTCATTTCATTAAAGATGAAAACTTTAATTTTTGCTGTGATTTGTACTTCCCTACATTTAGATCATCACAAAGAAGGACATGCATTCAGGCAGATGCTGTACAAGTCAGAGGGAACTACAGCCGTTGCCTCACTGATGAAAAAGATCCTAATGTAATTTTTATGGGAATTCTTTTATATAGTGTCTGAACATTGTAAATTATAGGGTTTTTGATTCATTAAAGGAGAAATATTTGAGTGCTTTAAGCTTCTATGAAATATGATTAATGAAACCAAGATAGTTAATTGCTCAAGATGGTTTTGAGTTTTTAAGGGCTAACATGAATTCAATACTTGGAAGCAGGATCACCTTCCAAGAGTAACTTCGCTGGTCTTACACAGCTGGGTCTAAAAATCATGTCAGATTTTAGGAATCAAAGCCTTGCTACAGGGGAGTAGAAAGCAATTTTCACTTTTCATTAAGTTATAAACAATTATGTGTCTATGATGAATCTTATCTGTCTTCTGAGAATCTAGCAGCTAGTTTCTTGCCTAAACAAGGCTCTCCTTAACCAAATATCAAAAACTAAATTGAATTGGCTACATTTTAAAGTCAAACGTTGCTAAAGCATTGCTTATCATTGATACTAACATGTTTACAGTAGGATTCTTGGGAATAAGAGTTGGCTTAACAGTATTTTGCTTATAATCTATACTAATAAAAGGGTAATATGCTAATTAGACCAGGAGACCTTCTGGACATCCTTCCGGACAAAGCCATGGTGGCAGGGCCAAGGCAGAGGCAGTTAGGGGCGATCAGGCCAGGAGAGGAGGGCAGTTGGGGGTGATCAGGCTGGTGGGGGGGGCAGTTGGGGGTGAACAGGCCAGGAGGCAGAGTGGTTAGGGGCAGGCAGGCAGAGGCAGTTATGGGTGATCAGGCAGGCAGGCAGGCGAGCGGGTTAGGAGCCAGCAGTCCCAGATTGGAGAGGGTGCAGGTTGGACTGAGGGACACACGCGCGCGCGCGCACACACACACCCTGCATATATTTCGTGCACCGGGCCACTAGTAGTACATATTGCTTCTTGGTCAAATTTTTCCTATTAAAAGTAAGAAAGTGCTACTATAGAAAGACTGAGTTTTCCCCTATCCTCAGTTTCAGGGTTTTCATGAAGGTTAGGATGACAGTTACTAAACCTACATTTTACTCCTTTAATGCCTTCTGCCTAATTTAATTTCAATTGAGTCATCAATTACCAGGGTTTCTCAGAGTGCTGTGGAAAGACCACCTCCATCAAAATGACCTACAATGTCTGTTTAAAATACAATTCCCTAGGTTCTGGACCTACTGAATTGGAATCTTGGGCCATGAGACTCAGCTGTCTGCATTTTTTAGGTTTCCCAGGTAATTTTTGTGCACACTTAGAGAATCACTAACTTATATGTATCCTTCCCACTTTCTATACTGTGAAATGAGTCCACAAAGAGCTAGAGCTAGAACTACTACCACTTTTTGGTTAATCATCTAGTCTATAACATTCCTGGAGCCTTCACTATTTTTTGAACAGTATTACCCAATATTTCAACCCCAATGTAAATTAAAATTATATGATCAAGCAATTCCACACCTTAGTAAATACCCAAAAGATTCAAAAATAAGTGTTCAAACAAAAACTTGTGTTCAGATGTTCATAGCAGCACTATTCACAATAGCTAAAAGGTAGAAAAACCAATTGTCCATCAGCTGGTCAATGGATAAGCAAAATGTATATCCATGTAGTGGAATACTGTTCAGCCATAAAAATAAGTGGAGTACTGATACATGCTACAACATGAATGAATCTTGAAAATCTGGATAAGTGAAAAAAGCCAGACACAAAAGGCTGCATACTATATGATTCCATTTATATGAAATAATCTAGAATAGGCAAATCCATAGAGACAAAGCAGACTCCCGGGGCAGGGGAGATGGGAAGAATAGGGAGTGACTGCTCATGGGTATGGAGGTTCCTTTTGGGGTAATAAAAGTATTTTGGAACTAGATAGTGGTAATGGTTACACAATGTTGTGACTGTACTAAATGCCACTGAATTGGCGCACGTTAAAATGGTTAAAATGGCAAATGTATTTTACTACAATTAAAGTACTATAACAATGTACGTAGTATAAATCATACCACATTTTTTAAACCTAGGAAAACATGTAAATTAACTAGTCCTCTGTTCCAAGTTGGTTTAAATAAAATCAACTTGTATTTTAAAACAACTGTTCTTAATACTGTTTTGGTGGTTGGCTGAAGAGGCCTGAAACTGATTCTGGAGCAGGTCTCTTGCAAGAGGTGTCCCTCCCTGAGGAAATCCAAAAGTGGAAAGGAAATACCTGGGCTGTGGCTGCCTGACTCCCATGTTGCTGAGCAAAACAGACTTTAGAAAGTATAATGAAGTATAACCACAGCCTACTTTACCTAGAAGGCAAAGGACATATTAAATGGTCAATATCCTGGAGTATATCTCTTTACTATACTTTCATTTCCAGTAACAGGTTTGTGACATTGAAAGTACCTCACTGGAATACATCGACTCTGACAGCAGAAATGTTTATTGTGCACCATCTTATAGGACAGTGATGGCGAACCTATGACACGCGTGTCAGAGGTGACACGCGAACTCATTTTTTTGGTTGATTTTTCTTTGTTAAATGGCATTTAAATATATAAAATAAATATCAAAAATATGTCTTTGTTTTACTATGGTTGCAAATATCAAAAAATTTCTGTATGTGACACGGCACCAGAGTTAAGTTAGGGTTTTTCAAAATGCTGACACGCCGAGCTCAAAAGGTTCGCCATCGCTGTTATAGGAGGTACTGCTTCCCTTAGTTCATGAGCCTTACAAACAAATAAGCTTTTCACCAGCTTCTTAGTTTCTGAACAGAGGCCAGTAAGATATTTTCACATCAAACAAGTGAATTCATATTGATAGGAGTTGGGTCTTTTAATAAGTCCACGTTTTCTAGGCATACGTTCTTTTGGTATTAAGTTGTTACCTTTCCAAGTTGCAGAAATGTGATATTTTTAATGCTTTTGGGATTAACTAAAAATACAGGCTTGAGTGTGCAATGTATGTTTGAACTAAAGAGAAACTTGTCGTGTAGCCACAAACACTAGGTATGTATGGAAATAACTGAAACTCAGAATGGTGAGTTCCAGAAGGGGAGCAGTAAGTACTCAGATGTTCAGAGGTGGCAGAAAGAATTTCCACTGATGGAATCCTGTGAAGAAATGTAAACCTCAAGGAACTGGTGAGATGAAGACAGGCCCCAAGAAGAGGGGGTATCTTGGCTAGTGGTTGCATCACGAAAGGTATGTGAGAAATAAAGAGCTGCCTGGGTATGGGAGGGAAGTAGTGTGAGATAAGGCTGCAAAGTTAGATGGGCCAAATTATGTAAACTGGCAGGTATAAGAGTGTGGGTTTCATTCAGGTGACTACAGCCAGCCTTTGAAGGTTTGAGTTCTGTTTTAGAAAGGTTAATATAAGACCAGTGTGTGGCATGGACTAGGGCCAATAACAATTAGTGGTTGCTATAGTACCTTTGCTGAGGTAATGAGGGCCCAGTCTAAGATGGTGACAATGAGGTGTGTGTGTTTTTAAGAGTCTACAGAAAGTATCAGTAGGATTTGGTTGTCTAGATCTTGAGAACTAGTTAGGGGAGGAGAGGGTGTGTACATCAAATAAGTCACTTAATCCTGATGACAACTCTGCACAACTGGGATTACTTTCCAAGATGTAGAGAAAAAAAATAGTCGCAGTCTTTGAACAATTGCCCAAATCACATAGCCATTAAGTGACAAGGTCAGGACCCAGATTTAGATCTTCCTTGTTTCCAAAGTCCATGCTTTGGTTTTTAGTGATTATGGTAGGGATGACAAGGAAAAAGCTGATTTGGGGGGAATGAGTATTTTGTTATAGAATTTTTTAAAGTATATTTTTATTGTTGACAGTATTACAAATATCTCCCATTTTCCCCCACTTTAGCCCCTCCTCTCAGCCTCTACCGTCTCCTCCAAGTTCACTACCCTATTGCCTGTGTCCTGCATATAAGTATATAAGTTCTTTCGTTTATCTCTTCTCATCCTGTTACAGAATTTTAAATACAAAATTGAAGTACAATCTTACAGAGAGACTTGTGGGCTTGAAAAGAGGAAAGATGGTTTATAGTGAGGAGTAGATGTGCATAAAAGAAGTGCAGAGCAGCAGTTAGGACCCAGCTCCAGGTAGATAACATGAATTTGTAATGAACCTACAATTTGTGGTCACTCTGATGAGTGGCTAATGTTGGGTAGAAATGAATGTCATTGAAGTTAAGTTTAAGGAAGAACTGTAGACAAATGAGAAGTAACATTTGAGAACCAAATAAACTATACTCATGCTTCTGCCCTAAGTATTAATTTCTATTAAGGAATTTTAACCAATATGGTTTGATTTGGGTGATAGGTGTTTGGGAGAGGAAAAGGTTGTATTGTTGTGCTACTATCCTCTGCAAAGCCTTTTTAAATAATGTGACTTCTACAGGTGAAATAATAAATGAGTTCAATTTTCTACATGCTGTGCATATGTTAATTTAGCAATTCCATGGTATAACTTTACTGATAGTATTATAGACTTAAGTCCCAAACACAGAGTCCATCAATAATTTGCTCAATTCTTTATTAGGGGCAATTATTTTTCAGATCTAATGCCATCCACCTCTGCCTTGATAAATATAGCAGTT